GAGAAGATGGAGGACGAAGAGGGAAAGGAGAAGAGGAAGAAGGAGGAAGAGGTGAAGGAGAAAGGAAGAATATGGAGGAGGAAAAGGAGAAGAGAAAGGAGGAGGAAAAGGAGGAAGAAGAGGCAAAGGAGAAAGTGAGAAGATGGAGAAGGAAGGAAAGTAGAAGAGGAAGGAGGAGGAGACAAAGAAGGAAGAGAAGGAGAAGATGGAGGAGGAGGAGAGCAGTTTTGAGTACATATTACTTGCTTAACATTTCTCCAGTTTGAAAATGAAGTTGATGTTTATTTTCTCTTGGTTTTCCTCTGCTCACAAAAATCAGAGAGTTGAAAGGCTATCTAGTTCAACCCCATTCTGTAATGCAACCAATCCAATTCACTGAATAATTTTTTTTAAGTCTATTCCACAACTTATTTTACTCGTTTCTATTCTTCCCCCCCACCCCATCCCAAACACATACACTTTTTTCTGGGACTATGTTTCTGATTTCCTTAGACGTCAATAATAGAACTAGGAACTTTACCATTTCCAGACTTTCACGAGGTCATCCAGAGATCCAGAAATAACCGTCTCCGTCCCGTCATTCCGGTTTCTCCCCCAAGCAACGGACCAAATGGCATCATCGTGTGCTGGGAGAAAAAGACAACATTTGAAAACATAATATAGTTGGCTCTCCATTAACCAGAACTCTCAAGCAACTGGCAAAAAAAGAATCACAGAAATAATACTGAATTCATAAAGCTCTTCTGATTATACAGTAAAACTGTTACATTGAATTATGTTTGCCTTTATTGGTTGTAATTTGCTTTTAATGACTGTATTTCAAAATAATTATTGAGTCAATGAAGAGTTTATGGGATAGTATAGTATGGGATATATTATTATTATTAATTACTATTCACAGTTTTATGGAATGACATAGCATGGGTTTATTATTACTCTGCAGAGTTTAAGGGATGGTATAGTATGGAGGCAAAAAAGAATGGAATAATAATAAATATTATTATTATTAGAAACACAAGATGAGTCCACAGCAGACACTCTGCTGGCTCTTGTATTGGATCACACGTCAGACGTCAGAAGGAATCCCACTGGAGCATTGCAGCGCACCCAAATACCTGGGAGTCACTCTGGACTGTGCTCTGACCTACAAGAAGCACTGCCTGAACATCAAGCAAAAAGTGGGCGCTAGAAACAACATCATACGAAAGCTGACCAGCACAACCTGGGGATCACAACCAGACACAGTGAAGACATCTGCCCTTGCGCTGTGCTACTCTGCTGCTGAGTATGCATGCCCAGTGTGGAACACATCTCACCACACTAAAACAGTGGATGTGGCTCTTAATGAGACATGCCGCATTATCACAGGGTGTCTGCGCCCTACACCACTGGAGAAATTACACTGCTTAGCCGGTATTGCACCACCTGACATCCGCCGGGAAGTAGCAGCCAATAGTGAAAGGACCAAGGCAGTGACATCTCCAGCTCATCCCTTGTTTGGGTATCAGCCAGCACGTCAACGACTTAAATCAAGAAATAGTTTTCTTAGATCTACAGAGACACTCGCTGGAACACCTCAGCAAGCACGAGAGTTCAGAAGTGGTGGGCTCAAACCCAGCACCTCAATCCGTGGGTTATACCAGATGAGAGACTCCCCCTGGGCACACAGAAGACTGGGCGACTTGGAAGGGGCTGAACAGACTGCGCTCTGGCACCACGAGATGCAGAGCCAATCTTAAAGAAATGGGGCCACAAAGTGGAATCCACGACATGCGAGTGTGGAGAAGAGCAAACCACTGACCACCTGCTGCAATGCAACCTGAGCCCTGCCACATGCACAATGGAGGACCTTCTGCGGCAACACCAGAGGCACTCCAAGTGGCCAGATACTGGTCAAAGGACATTTAATCAACTACCAAGTTTGCAAAATTCTGTGTTTTTTTAATCTGTTTGTTTTGTTCTGTTAGAAATGTAATACAATGGTATGGTTGCTGATGACACGATAAATAAATAAATAAATACACGTCGGACACTTCCCAAGTGTCTGTGTGATGTATCGGTGAATATTGCGTGCAGATCCCAGTAAGGTGGCCTTCTGAAGCTGGCAGATGGTAATTTTGTCAGCGCTGATTGTGTTTAAGTGCAGGCCAAGGTCTTGAGGCACTACACCCAGTGTGCCGATCACCATTGGGACCCCCTTGACTGGCTTGTGCCAGAGTCTTTGCAGTTCGATCTTTAAATCCTCATTTTATTATTATTATTATTATTATTATTATTATTATTATTATTATCCTGCTTTATCTCTTCTGAAGACTCAAAGTGGTTCACATTGAAAGTATTACCACACAATTCAGATATACAATTTTGCAAACATTAAAACATAATTAAACGGAACAGTATTTTAAAGCTCACAGTTAAAATCCATGTTTGAAAATCCATTAAAATATATTCAATGCTCTTAATATTATTATTATAAAGAGCTTTATGGGATAGTATAGTATGAGAGAAGCACCATGTGGCACAGCGGGTTAAACCGCTGAGCTGCTGAACTTGCTGACTGAAAGGTTGGTGGTTCATATCCGGGAACAGAGTGAGCTCCCATTGTTAGCGCCAACTCCTGCCAACCTAGCAGTTCAAAAACATGCAAATGTGAGTAGATCAGTAGGTACTGCTCCAGCGGGAAGGTAACAGAGCTCCATGCAGTCATGCTGGCCACATGACCTTGGAGGTGTCTACGGACAACACCAGCTCTTCAGCTTAGAAATAGAGATGAGCACCACCGCCAGAGTCGACTAGACTTAAAGTCGGGAAACTTTTACCTTTTATATTACGGAGTATATTATTATGATTCTGCAGAATTCATGGGATGGTATAGTATAAGGTATATTGTTATTATTATAATTATTATCATCATCCATTAGCATAGAATAAAACATTGACAGTATCAAAAATAAATAGCGAAACCCATCCATGTCAGACTCTCACAACCACCATGTCAGACTACACAGAGAAGCCATTGAAATCCACAAGCAAGTGGACAATTTCAACAGAAAGGAGGAAACCATGAAAATGAACAAAATCTGGCTACCAGTATTAAAAAACTCTAAAATTACAACAGCAAACAACAGAGAGGAAACAAACAAGGACATCTAATCATCTCTCAACAAAAGTTTGCTCCAGGCACTGCCAGGCCATTATATGCTAATCAAGGTGGTCAGTTGAAACATTCACACCTAGCTCCAGCAGACAAGAGTCCTTTGTCCCACCCTGGTCATTCTACAGATATATAAACCCTTTTTTCTAGTTCCAACAGACCTCACTATCTCTGAGGATGCTTGCCATAGATGCAGGCAAAACGTCAGGAGAGAATGCCTCTAGACCATGGCCATATAGCCCAAAAAAACCTACAACTCATCAGTACTATGTTGTTTAGCATTCTGTTCTCACCTTGTTCTTGCTTGAAGAGAATACTGTACTGAAAAGGGGGAGAAAAAGAGAGATATCTCGGTTATGAAGGAATATAAATTTAATGAGGAAATGAAATTGGGATTTTTGTGTTACTCACCTGAGTCGTCATGTCTTCATGAGAAGAGAATAGTCATGGAAATAGACGGGAAGAGGACAAATTCTCAGCTCTGGGTACGTCTATACTGTAGAATTAATACAATTTGATGCCTATTATTATTATTATTACTTTATTTATTTATATCCCTCTTTCTTCTCTTAATGAGACACAGGTGGCTCTAAAAATATTAAAACCAGTGGAGATAATATAAAAACATTAAATCCACAGGTGTGCCATGCTAATAATTATAATATAGTGTATGTATATATAATATTGATCATAATATTGTAATACAATACGGTACTACTAATAATAAAATATAATTATTATATACTACATGTCATATAAGTAATAATACTGCATTATAGTGGTATAGTACAATATAGTAATATATAATACTAACATTGTGCTATGCTAATAATATAGTATACTGCATGTACATATAATTTGTAAGCCGCTCTGAGTCCCCTTCGGGGTGAGAATACACAATATATAATACATAAAATAATATATAATATATGTTGTTGTTCATTCGTTCAGTCGTCTCCGACTCTTCGTGACCTCATGGACCAGCCCACGCCAGAGCTCCCTGTCGGCCGTCACCACCCCCAGCTCCTCAAGGTCAGTCCAGTCACTTCAAGGATGCCATCCATCCATCTTGCCCTTGGTCGGCCCCTCTTCCTTTTGCCTTCCACTTTCCCCAGCATCATTCCCTTCTCCAGGCTTTGCTGTCTCCTCATGATGTGGCCAAAGGACTTCAACTTTGTCTCTAGTATCCTTCCCTCCAGTGAGCAGTCGGGCTTTATTTCCTGGAGGATGGACTGGTTGGATCTTCTCGCAGTCCAAGGCACTCTCAGAACTTTCCTCCAACACCACAGCACAAAAGCATCTATCTTCCTTCGCTCAGCCTTCCCTAAGGTCCAGCTCTCACATCCGTAGGTGACTACAGGGAATACCATGGCTTTGACTAGGCGGATCTTTGTTGCCAGTCTGATGTCTCTACTCTTTACTATTTTATCGAGACTGGACATTGCTCTCCTCCCAAGAAGTAAGAGTCTTCTGATTTCCTGGCTACAGTCTGCATCTGCAGTAATCTTTGCACCTAGAAATACAAAGTCTGTCATGGCCTCCACGGTTTCTCCCTCTATTTTCCAGTTGTCAATCATTCTTGTTGCCATAATCTTGGTTTTTTTGAAACCCGGTTTTTGCGCTTTCTTCTTTCACCTTGATTAGAAGGCTCCTCAGCTCCTCCTCGCTTTCGGCCATCAGAGTGGTGTCATCTGCATATCTGAGGTTGTTAATGTTTCTTCCAGCAATATATATTATATATATATAAATTATATATAGCCGAATATATAATATATAATACATAGCATATATATACTCAATATATATAATACATGGAATAATATAATATACATATAAAATTTAATACATGAGATTGTTTCTATATAACATCTATAATACATACAATTGTGTGTGTGTGTGTGTGTGTGTATATATATATATATATATATATATCTATATCCAAAACTAAAGCTAACGCTTCAGACCAAAGGGGAAAAAAGCATGGCTCGATTGCCATGGCGACGAGGCCTAGCACACCCCCCGAAGCCTGCCCTCCCCAGGCTCCGGCCCTTACGGTTCTCCTCGGCCCCTTCTTCCCTCCCAAAGCGTCCTGCCAACATCTGCTTTACCTCCCAAGGATCCCGCCACGGCGTCTCTGTCCCCCGCCTGGCGCTTCCGGTGCCGTCTAATGACGTCAGAACCACAGCGCGCCCGTTTTTTGCGTAGACAAGTACAGCTGAGCGCTCTTTGCTGCCGCCTGATGGGCGGGAAGGACACTGCAGGAAAGGAATGAAAGGAAGGAAAAGAGGAGGAGGAAAAGCATTTTACATATACATATGCAAAATACATATACACATTTATATATACATATACATGCTCACATATACATACACATGCTTACATATACATACATATACATATGCACTTATACATACATACATACCTATACACATGCATGTACATATACATGTGTACATGTATTTACATACACATGCATACATACATATGCACATACATATAGACATACAAATACATGTACATGCACATACATATACTCGCATATACATGCATATACATATATACATACACATGCATACACATGCCTATATACATGTATACATACATATACATACATATACATATACATGCATATATACACATATGTGCATATACATATATACATGCATACACATACATATATACATGCATACATATACATTCACATACATATACATGCATAAACATATATACATGCATAAATATACATACACATGCATATTTATTATTTATTTATTTATTTACTTTGCTTATATACCGCTGTATCTCAAGCCCGAAGGCGACTCACGGCGGTTCACAAACAGTAAAAAACAGTAGAAACAGCAGTGGTTCCATACAACATATAACAATTGACTTAACACATTATCCATAAATTACCAATAAGCAATTACAATGCACAATTATTACAAAAAACAACCGTACCCAATCTTCTCATCATCCAAACGTAGTCCAGGTTCGTCGTCCATTGTTCCATTCCTATGTTCCATTACCAGATTGCATTAAATATATACATGCATAAATATACATACACATGCATATACATGCATACATATACATATATACATATATGCATGCATACATATACATACACATGGATACACATGCATACATATACATTCACATATATATATACATAATACATGCATATACACACATATATAAATGCATACATACATATACATGCACATGAATATACATGCATACATATACATTAACATACATATATATAATATACATGCATATATACACACATACACACATATACGTGCATATACATGTATACATGCATACACATAGAAAGAACCGGCTCTGAAAAAACCAGGCTCCATTTCGGCTCATCCTGGCTCCAGCAAAACCTAGGAAGCTTCATTTCATGTATACATACACATTCACATACTTATACATATACATGCATAAACATATATACATGCATAAATATACATTCACATACATATACATGCATAAACATATATACATGCATAAATATACATACACATGCATTTACATGCATACATATATATTCATATGCATATATACATGCATATATATACATACACATATATAGCTACATATACATGCATTTACATATATACATGCATACATACATATACATACACATGCATATATATAATATACATGCATATATACACACATACACATATATACATGCATATACATGCATATATATATACATGTTTACACATATATATATACAAGCATACATACATATAATAATATACATAGATATACACATCCATACATCCATATCTCTCTCTATCTATCTATCTATCTATCTATCTATCTATCGAGTAGTTTAAAACAATCCACAGGCAATTCATTCAAGTATATATTAAATATTTTTCAAAAACATGAAACAATGGCGTTATATTGCATGTTAATATTGTCATGCTTACTGGTTTGAAAGGCATACGTGGTTTAGTTCTGTGGCTTTTTAAAATGTCTATATTTTAATACATTTCTATAGTAGAATATTTGGGTTTGCATCCCATCAAGGCCCCCCACGGGCACCTCAGCCAGCCGCCGTCCACCTGGCCTTCGTGCGTCCTAGAGGAGCCTTCAGAGTCCTTTTCAAAGGGAGAAAGAGACGTGGTTATTGTACTTCGGGAAGTGGTGAGTGAGTCCTGCAAGCATCCCGTGCAACTTTTATGAAGCGGATCGTCTTTCGGGGCTCTGAAAGAACCAGGCTCCATTTCGGTTCATCCTGGCTCCAGCAAAGCCTAGGAAGCTTCATTTCACACAAGGCTCAAGCCTATGAAATGCCTGGGAGATGTAGTTTTACAAGGTCCTTGGCTCTAAAGAGGCTCAGCTCAATCCAAGGTCAGCTGGGAGTTCATTGGAGGTCAAGCAAGACCTTACTGTGGTCCACATGGGGGTTCTGTGTGGGAAGTTTGGCCCAAGTCTATCGTTGGTGGGATTCAGAATGCTCTGTGATTGTAGGTGAACTATAAATCCCAGCAACTACAATTCCCAAATGTCAAGATTCTATTTTCCCCAAACTCCACCAGTGTTCACATTTGGGCATGTTGAGTATTTGTGTAGAGTTTGGTCCAGATCCATCATTGTTTGAGTCCACAGTGACCTCTTGATGTAGGTGAACTACAACTCCAAAACCAAAGGGCACTGCTCACCAAACCCTTCCAGTATTTTCTGTTGGTCATGGGAGAACTGTGTGCCAAGTTTGGTTCAATTCCATCGTTGGTGGGGTTCAGAATTCTCTGTGATTGTAGGTGAACTATAAATCCCAGCAACTACAACTCCCAAATGTCAAGATTCTATTTTCCCCAAACTCCACCAGTGTTCACATTTCGGCATATTCAGTATTTGTGTAGAGTTTGGTCCAGATCCATCATTGTTTGAGTCCACAGTGATCCCTTGATATAGGTGAACTACAACTCCAAAACCAAAGGACACTGCCCACCAAACCCTTCCAGTATTTTCTGTTGATCATGGGAGAACCGTGTGCCAAGTTTGGTTCAATTCCATAGTTGGTGGGGTTCAGACGGCTCTGTGATTGTAGGTGAACTATAAATCCCAGCAACTACAACTCCCAAATGACAAAATCAATTTTTTTGAGTGAAGGACATACATTGGGTTGTAAGGTGTCTTGTGTCCAAATTTGGTGTCAATTTGTCCAGTGGTTTTTGAGTTCTGTTCATCCCACAAATGAACATTACATTTTTATTTATATAGATAGGGTTCAATGCTATGGAATGCATGGAAGTTGTAGTTTTACAAGGGCTTCCACTCTGGAGAAGCTGGGCTCCATTTGAATTCATCCGGGCTCAAGCAAATCTTTCATTTGCACAAGAGTCAAGGCTATGGAATGCTTGGAAGTTGTAGTTCTACAAGGTCTTTAGTTCTACATAAGTTGAGCTCTGATAGGAGATCATTGTAGTTCAAGCAAGACCTAGATAGCTTCCTTTCACATAAGGCTCAAGGCTATGGGATGCATAGGAGTTGTAGTTCTATGAGGGCTTCCACTCTGGAGAAGCTGGGCTCCATTTGGGTTCATCCAGTCTCAAGCAAAACTTTCCTTTGCAGAAGGCTCAATGCTATGGGATTCCGGGAGTTGTAGTTTTACAAGGTCTTTGGCTCCGAAGAAGCTGAGTTTGATTTGAGATCAGCTGGAGGTTCATTGCAGATCAAGTAAAACCTGGGAAACTTCCTTCTTCCCTTTGCACAAGGCTCAATGCTATGGTGTTCTGGGAGTTGTAGTTTTACAAGGTCTTTAGCTCCGAAAAAGCTGGGCTCAATTCGAGATCAGCCAGGAGTTCATTGCAGATCAAGTAAAACCTGGGAAACTTCCTTGATCCCTTTGCACAAAGCTCAATGCTATGGGATTCCAGGAGTTGTAGTTTTACAAGGTCTTTAGCTCCGAAGAAGCTGGGCTCAATTCGAGATCAGCCAGGAGTTCATTGTAGATCAAGTAAAACCTGGGAAACTTCCTTGATCCCTTTGCTCAAGTCTCAATGCTATGGGATTCTGGGAGTTGTAGTTTTACAAGGTCTCCAAAGAAGCTGGGCTCGATTTGAGATCAGCCAGGGGTTCATTTCAGATCAAGTAAAACCTGGGAAACTTCCTTTTGCTCAATGCTGTGGGATGCTGTGACCCACTTTATGTCCTGTTGCATTTTGGGGAGGGTGCACCACAGATGATGGGATTTGCAGTACCTTAACCCAATTCACAGACCACTGAGACCCTCACGAATGACAGACCTGGACCACACTTGTCACACAGACTCCTCATCACTAACAGAACATACTGGAGACATTTGGGGGAAATTGACCTTGATTTAGGGGAGTTATAGTTCACCTGCATCCAGAGAAATTGTGACACCCACCAACAATGGACCGTGACCACACTTGGCACAGAGAAGCCTGAAGATCAACTGAACATACTGCAGGGTATTGGGGATGTTTGGCCTTAATTTTGGGAGTTGTAGTGAAGTCAATAGGAATTTTAGAAGGGTCTACCCCAAGAGGAGAGACCCTGCGGCCCCACCAAAGAGGGATCGCTACGTTGGTGAGCAAAGAGAAGCCTAATTTTAAGCAATTTATTTTCCCTAAGTTCCCAAAAGGAATCTCACCAAAGTTGAAGAAATCGCCATCGAGATGATTTATTAACGATTCAGCTGAAAAGGATGCAAAGTGGCAATCATTCGCCAAGCTAAGCATACATGTACACAAATAAATACCATTTTTATAGAAAAAACAGAGTGTGTGATTTGAATCTCCCACTCCCCCACCCCCGCCGCCTGGCTTGAAGGTGATTGGCTGGTGCCTCAACAGCTGGGAGGAGGCTTGTCCGCCCCTTGAACACCTGGGCCAATCACAGGGCTTCTGCTGCCTTGGCGCGTCGACGAATCAGGAGGGAGGGAGGTAGGACAAGGGAATACAATGCATTCTTGAATGGATTATGGAGTTACAGGAAATGTCCAGGGGGGCAATCTATTGTGTCGTAATTGATCTGAGATAAGCATCGGTGTACTGCAGGGTATTGGGGATGTTTGGTCTTAATTTTGGGAGTTGTAGTTCACCCTTATCCAGAGAGCACTGAACCCAGCCAATGTCAGATCTGGACCAAACTTGGCACACAGACCCAACATGGCCAAGTGAG